TAAACAACCTTTTTATGGACCTGACCCATCTTTGGGTATTGTGTACATTGACTTATGCCAAAGCCATGAGTTGAGGGTTTCTATTATGATGAATGCTCTGGAAAGTTGGGTTGAAAGAACAGAGAGATAGAAAGAACAAAAGTTAAGTGACTCCAGAATCAGTTAAAAGAAAAGTGAAATAAAATAAAATATAATAAATTCAAGCAAGAAAAGAAGATATTCACTTACACAAATGGAGAAATACGGGAAAATAGCAAGGTAAAAGAATATGAGAAATTGGGTAAAATAAAATGAGGAAAAGAGGTATGTTTATCCGATATGTCAAGGAGGGAAAAAAGTTACTAGAGTATACCTAAATATACCCTACCTCACCCTGATCCTATGTTACAAGCTAAGAAAGTCCTATCGTGATCCTAAGAGTTGTATAGCGAACTTAAAGCTGTGAAAATAAGGGCAACCTTATGGCAATATGTATGTATGAGTTTTGAATTTGTACTTAGAGTGAGTGTTGAAAAGTAATACTCATACACAAATTGAAATCTTTTTTTGGAAAATGAGGATGTTGATTTGATGTGAGGACACTAGTTGCAATACCGTAAATATTAGCACCTCTATGTGAAATTGAAGAGGATAGGTGTCAATGTGTGCTGAGTCTGTGTCATAGTCTGATTTCACATAATTCCAGCCTAATAGTGATAACATGCATAAATGTTATGAGACCGATCGGGATTGATAGTCATATGATTGCGAAATATAAAACATTGATACTATTGTACAAAGATTTTGTATTAGGTCATATTGCGTCTCTTGAGAAGAAACAACGAATTTAAGTTGAGGGTATTAATATAACGTGGTTTCACGGTATTTTTAATGCTTTTTCCTTAAGCTTAGTGTTTGTACAAAAGCATTTTTGTATTAATTTTTATGTAAGTTTCTCTTTATTTGCAGGAAATCTGTCTAAAGATGAACGCTAATGTTTTTGAGCAAGAAATGCAGAAAAGTTACCACCTACGGAGCATGGGATGGTCCGTCGTGCATGTGACGGTCCGTTGCTTGCAGCTTATTGAAGCTGCTGAAGGAAGATGGGGAATTTGACCAAATGTGGGCTTACAAAGTGCATGACAGACAATCGCAACCATGTCGATCCGTCTTGCTTGTTCGTCTTGATGATCAAAGAAGTAGTCGAAGTACCCAAATTCCATGAGTTTAAGTGTTATGGAACGGAGATCTACGATGGACCATTGTTCCAGTGATGATCCATCATACCTACCATCGAGGGTTATGAAGAGAGCCGCTAAAGAATTTGCAAAGTATGGGACGACGGAGTCCATGAAGGCCCATCGTGACCACGATGACTCGTCGCGAGTCCGTTGACCCAGCCGCGTTTTGATATATTTTCAACAAATAGAGTCCTACTTTTCATAGGTTTTTGTTCTTTTATGAATAGTTCGAAAAACCTCATTTTTGGACTTAGACTCTTTATTGGAAAAACACTTTTATGTTAGATTCTTTGTTAGTAGATTAATTTGTATCTTACACTTTTGATTGTTACACTTTTCTCTTGAGTTGATTGTTGGTGATTTTGTCGATTAATCAAGTAAATTTCTGGATTTTATTATTTCTCATTGAAGTAAGTTCATGAATTCTCATATCATATATATGAATATTGTGATTATGACTATAGGTAACTAAAATTCATAACAAGGGTTGTGGGAACCATGGGTTAATAATAAGATAAAATCTAACTAACATAGCAATTCTAGAATAGTGTTTTGCATGTATTAATAATTCTTTCGCTTAGAAGTCTTTTTAAGGATGGAAAACGTTACAACTCGCCTTAATGCTACTTGCTGGACAAAGGACGTAGATAATAGGAACACAATTATCAACATAGATTTAGTGAATGCTATTAAATAGGCTAGAATTTATTGGTACGAGGTAATAATTTAGTTAAATATCGAATACAATGCTTAATATGAGGTAAAGGTAAGGGTTAGTATTGTAACACACGTAGCCGGAACAAGCTGCAGAGTGATATTTTCTAGATGCCAAACAAAGGATTTAGAAATACCTAACTTATCACTTTACATGCAAGATACTACGAATGAATTTTATAGTAAGAATTAACAAGTTAGGAACCTATAAGGAACACTTAAGCCCCAGTTACTTGTATTTAACTGATTAAACTCAAACATTTGAATCTGTTAGTTGTCTACATTCATTTGGCTAATTATTTTCATTCATTTAGAAATAAAAACCCCCCTTTTATTGTCTTTGTTTTCTATGTTAATAATTACTAAATAGTAGTACTAATAGATTGAAGTTATGTCTGAAGTATTTTCCTCGTGGGAACGATCCTAAACTTAATAGTGTGGTTCTTTACTTGATACGATCACTTTATTTCTTATTTGAGAAGTAAGTTTGAGCGTATCAGAGGTATTCATAACTCATTAGATGATTTCTCATCTTTTCTTTACGTATTAAGGATGAATTGTCCTTACACTTACATATAGAATTTGGTTGACACTTGTCTCTTATTGTTCAACACTCTCTTAGGTGAGTACTTTTTGGTGACCTTTACTTACTTTTGGTTTAAACTTGTCTCACCATTCATCTTAGCCTTTTATCATGTTATTACCATTCTCATTAGAATCATAGTATAATATAATTACTGACCTCATTACGTAAATGTTCATTTATTAATCTTACCATTAGCTCGTGGTCTTGCCCATTTCAGGTTACTCACAATTGAATAATGTTTCGTGAAAATCGAAATATATGTTGTGTAAGACATATGCATTTTACACAGTCATCCATGGGACCCAATTTCAATCCCTAGTGTGTACATTCCATTTTATGTTAATGTGTCTCAATATTTTAGTCAAGAACCCATGTTCGAATCCCTTAGGCAGCATTTGATTTTTTTTAAATTATTTAATTTGCTAGGTGACTTCATGTATTTCACCCAAGAGGATCTGAGATCGAATTTCAATTGTCTTAACCTTATTATATTATTTTGGATAGATTTATGTATCTCTCACCCTTGGACAACGAGCCGAGTTTGAATCCCCCCTCCCTCACTATTTTTTTTGTTTGTTTTTATTTAAGGCTTCTTTAAACCTGCCCTAGTTCGAATCCCCTATCTCACCCTATTTTCTTTTCTTTTACTTGAAGGCTTAATCTCTTAGTATTAGGACATTATATTTTCAAGATTCACTATACAAGGAATTAATTCCTCTTCATATATATGAGTGACTAGCTGAAACAATATCCGTTTAACAAAATGTTTTAATTCACTTTCTTACATTTAGCCTAGACCTTTAACTCATAGTTTTACGTATGCTTTTAACAAATTCATTAAGGATTTCACTTTAACTTTCTTATTCATGATTATCACGATTTCTTTTGTATGCTAAACACACTACATTGCATAATGCATAATTCACCATTTTCTTCAAGTTAACTGTAAAAATACAATTACGGAAAAAACAACATGTTTTTTGCACATATGACACTAAACATTCTGATGTACATAAGAAATCATAAACAGCCCGTAACATAAATTTCACTAAATAGCAATCATTCTAAAGTAATATTCCATAATTCATACCAACGCGTGCATCAGTTCGTTCATAGGATCAAAGCACAAGGGCATGCAACCACGGACAACCTTAGTATTCAATTGGATTTAAACTAAACCTAAGGGAACTATTTGGAAAGGGACCAAGAGATAAGAAAACCCTTACCTTTTCACCCTTTACAACAAGACACAATCACACCTTTCCATCCACACACAAACCTTTCTTCCGAGCTTTGATTCTTGTTCCCAAAAGAAGTTCTTTACTTAAAACACCGAGGCGTACGAATTTATACTTTTGTTTTTGATGGATGCATCCAAGAATACTTTTAGGAATGTGAGTTTAAGTTTATTTTCTGTATTTTAATTGTGAGATATAGCTGAAAATCTTTTTAGGATTAATATAAAGAATTAAGAGTGGGCATGAAGCACACTCCTAGTGGGAGTCCTGCGCCCATTTTGTGGGAATTGTTGTTGACTTATTCAGCACAATTAAAATTGTAAAATCAGATTATAAAATATAGATATAGTTATTGATAATTCCCCTCCTTACTTTCTCTAGTTTTTAAATCTACTAATTTGTGCCCTTATTTCCTCCAACTCGGCTCCAACCGTAGTGTGGAGGTAGGGTCAATCTCGGGTTTGACGACCGAGATTTGATTTTGACTAATTAACAAATTTACTTAAATAATTCAATCTCATCCAATGGTAGTTACTATACTACCCCTAGCCCCAAAATTACCTTTATACCCCTAGAATTTATAAATACTAGGGCTAACCCTATAAGTCCGGTTAAGACTCATCTTGGTGAATCCTAGTATTCTGGTACACTTCATGGCTGGAACAAACCCTGCTTAGCTCAAACATCTCCAAAATTTGGTTGGCTTGGATGGTGGATAGGTACAGAGGTCTGGTTCCACGCGCATCAATAAGTGTATACCCGGTCTAACCTAAGCATTCTATGTATGTTAAGGCCTTACTTAGCATAGTCGTTTTTGGGTTTTCACATTATACCCCCCTTAGGAACATTCAAACCCCAATTACACTACATATCAATTAAACAAAGAGGGTGATTTTTGAAATTTACTTCATCATACTTAAACCTTTCTCTTTTGGGAACATTTGATCAACACTTATTTGGGTGGTGCATATCATGATAATATATCTAAGGCTTCATTCTTGTAATTTGAATTTCCTTTTCATTCACACTTAAATAAATTCACAACACAATTCATGCAACATAGAAAACACGCCTGTGCTTCACAAAAATGGCAACGTAGATTGTAAACATAACTACGTTCTAACTCATATAGTGTTATATCAAAACATATGATTAGTTACATATTACACTATGTTGACTACATTATTTAGAACATAAAGTTTTTTAAACATGAATCACACTTTAGGAAAAGAATATCCAACTTTATGAACTGAACAAATGAGGATAACGAGATCGCATGTCAGCCTCGGCCACACACGTTGCACCCTCAACAAGGTGGTTCCGCCAGAGAACTTTCACGATAATATCTTTGTTCCTCAGTCGCTTCACTTGAGGATCTAAAATTTCAATTGGAACCTTTGCATAAGATAGAATCTCATCAACTCCTAACCCCTCAACAAGAAGGATGGATGTTAGATCACCTAGAAACTTCTTAAACATTGAAAGGTAAAACAGTGGATGAACAGAAGCCAAATCTTTAGATAACTGCGATTTGTAGTCAACATTTCCTACTTGCTGCAAGACCTCATAAGGGCCTATATACCTCGGACTCAACTTACCTTTCTTACCAAACCTCATCACCCCTTTAATGGGTGATATCTTCAAATAGACCTGATGACCTACCTTAAACTCTAAAGCTCTCTTTCTATTATTGGCATATAATTTTTGAAGACTGTTTGCAGTAGACAAACTATCTCTAATCATCATCACCATCTCTATAGCCTCATGTACGTCTCAGGACCAAGGATGGCAGATTATCCTTGCTCAAACCACCAAACCGGATTCTTACATATTCAGCCATATAGTGCTTAAAAAGATTCCATCCAAATTCTAGAATGGTAGCTTTTATTGTAAGAGAACTCTATAAGCGGCAAATGATTATCCAACTCCCATTTAATTCATTAACACATGCTATGAGCATGACTTTAAGGGTCTTGATGGTATGCTCGTCTTGTCCATCCTCCTGTAGATGAAAAGCTCTACTAAGCTTCACCTGTGTTCCCAATCCTTTTTGGAAAGATCTCCGAAAATAGAAGTAAATTTGGCTCCCCTATACGAGATGATAGACAGAGGAATCCTATGCCATCTCACTACCTCATCAATATAAGTTTATGCATAATTTTCATTTTTGTAAATATATTTCACTAGTATGAAGTGAGCGGACATGGTCATTTTGTCAACAATAACCCAAATACAATTATGTAGTTTTCTAGTCTTTGGAAGACCAACAACAAAATCAATATAGATTGCCTCCAACTTCCATGTTAGAATCTCAATCGTGTGACTGAGACCCCAAGCTTAAGGTGTACTACATTAACTTTTTTGCGATTCGTACACTCCTTCACGAATTAAGAGATATCTCTCTTCATATCTTCCACCTAATAGACCTCTGTACGGTCATGGTACATCTTTGTGGCTCCAGAATGAATTTAATACATGGAACTATGAGCTTATGCCACAATATTGGACCTCAAATTATAAAAATTGGACACACAAAACCTGTTTCGATACTTGAGTATACTATCTCCTCCTAGGGAAAATGAGTCATTCAACTTACTCAATACTAAGTCTTTCAAATCCATGATTACTAGGTCGAGATGATAATTGGCTTTTACATCTACTAAAAATGAAGATTCCAAAATTTAGTGAACTGAAACACCCCCACTTGGTGCATCGGCCAGTCGTACACCCAATCTAGCCAATTGGTGTACCTCTTTAACCAGCTCCTTCTTTTCTTCATGAATATGAAACATACTGCCCATGTTCATTAATCAATGAATAAGCTACTACATTTTCCTTACTTGAGCGATAATAAACACTCATATTATAATGTTTGAGCACTTCTAACAATCTCCTCTAGTTAAGGTTAAACTCCCTCTGTGTAAAAACATTCTGAAGACTCTTATACTCATTATATACATCAACATGTACACCATATAAATAATGTCTCGTGGATTTTTAACTGCCTCGATGAGAATGCAATTGCCATACTATCCTACATAAGAACACATCCCAAAACTACTCGGGAAGCATCATAGTACACCACATGTCCTGCACCACTCCTCGGCTATGTAAGAACTGGGACATAAGTGATTCAGTCTTTGAGCTGTTGAAAGATCTTCTTACATTTTTTATACCATTCAAACTTTGCCTTCTTCTTCGGCATTGCTCTCAATGGAGCAGAAATAGTGGAAAAGCCTTCCACAAACCTGCGATAGTAATTGGCTAAACCAAGATTTCTGCGAATATTGGTAAGTGTTAGTGGTCTCGGCCATTTCTTCACTGCCTCAACCTTTTTAAGATAACATTCTACACCTTAGTCAGTCACCACATTACCAAGAAAGGTCACTGATCTCAACCCGAATTAATATTTGTTGAATTTTGCATAGAAGTGACTTGTACCTCATGCTCTTCTATAGACTTAGAGTATATGAGAATGTCGTCTATGAATTCTATGACGATGGAATCAAGGTACTCACAAAATACTCTATTCATAAGGTCAATAAATGCGTCTAGTGCATTAGTGAGATCAAATAGAATCACAAGAAATTCATAATGCCCATATCTAGTAAGAAAATTCATTTTAGGGACGTGTTGTCGCCTCATTCTAGGCTGATGGTAGCTTGACCGAAGGTCTATCTTTGTAAAGAAACTCGAACCTTGGATCTAGTTTAATAATTCTCCAAATCTATAAAGTGGGAACTTATTCATTATAATGACTTGGTTGAGTTGCCGATTATCGATGCACATTCTAATGTTTCTATCCTTTTTCATTACGAACAACACTGGAGCACCGAAAGGGGATATGCTCCACTGACGGAAGACCTTGTCTAGTATATCTTTGAAATGCAACTTCAAATCTTTGATTTTAGCTAGTGCCATCCTATACGGGGGAATAGAAATTTGCTTTGTGTTGGAATCTAAATAATAAACATATTCAACCTCAAGTTCAAGAGGAATTCCTGGTAAATTATCCGTAAAGGAATCTGGGAACTCACTAACTTTTGATACTGAGTCCATGGAAGGTAATTTTTTATCTTAGTCATTCACTCTAACTAAGTTTTACAAATACCTCATAGCTATCAACTTGTTTTACTCTAAGTGTGAAAAAAATTGACCAACTTTACTTGAACCATGCCCTTCCAATTCCCACTCGAACTTATTATGAAAGTGAACCCTCACTACCCTCTATCGATAATCATTTGTGGCATAACATTAATAGAGCCAGTCTATACCAAAACTAATTCCACAAGATCAGCGTAAGTGACTCTATCAACGATTTGAATTGGGCAGTTTTTATACACTCGTTTTTCCCTAATGTTGCCTCGTGGGGGTACTTCCTAGACTCAACTCATGCAAGACGTCAAGAAGCACATAAAATCTACTAGCTATCAAAGGCATAACAAATGATAGAGTGGATCCAGTATCTAACGCTGCATATATTGAGAAAGGAAAGACATGCAATGTACCTATGACAATATTAGCTGACTTCTCTTGCTCTTCTCTACATTTTAGTGCATAAAATCGATTAATATTAGGATGTTCGGCTGCGACAATAGCCTTTGGCCGCGGATAGGAATTTGACTTGGACTTATCCATCGTATTAGAACAGTATCGGACCATGTGTCTACTCTTTCCACACTTGAAACAGGTGTTAGTACCTATTAAAAACTCACCTTTATGGAGATGTCCACATTAACCACAAATCATGCTTTTTTGATGGTCGTTCTGATCATTGCCCTTTCTGGGGCAAGACTCGTTCACTTTGACATTCGTATTTCCTAATGTAGCAGAATTACCTTATTGTCTCTTGAACTTAGCTATGTTCTACACTCAAAATGAGCTCCTTCCCGAGCTAGGACCAGCCTGATCCGCAAACCTAGGCTTCTTGCTTTCATGAATTCTCCTCTTACGGCGGCTCTCCTCCACATGCTCAGCATGCACCATCAACCTTCCTAGATCCATGCAATTATGAAACATTGCATCACGAAAATCTTACACTAGATCCTCCTACATGCCATACACAAACGAGCTCATTTCATCCATTCTATTTGCTGCAAGAGAAGAAACATACTTTGAGAGTTTAAAGAATTTATAGGAATACTCCTTGCTTGACATACCTCCCTGTCTTTGGTTGATGAACTATTCAACCTAAGATTCTCGTTACTTTATAGAGAAGAGTCTCCCAGAATGGAAGTCTTGAGAAAATCCCAAGTGATGGGAACATCTGCACGTTCTCTTCTATAAACCCACATCTGGTACCAAATGTGTAGCACATCCTTGAGTTTATATGTAGTCAACTCAACTTTCTACTCCTTATCTACTCCCATAGCACAAAGGATCTTTTGGACCTCATCCATGATTTCCTTGGGATCTTCATGGGTCTTGGACCTTAGTAAACTTGGGGTATATTATGGTGAAGTGCCTCAGCCTGCTAGCCACGGTCCTAGCATGGAGATTCTCTATTAGAGCACCCTCTCTCACGGCTTGAGCCATGATGGCTTGAGATGAGTAATGATTGCATGTGCCATCTGTATCAAGGAATTCATCACATCTGCATCTGTCAATCCATCTTCGTTGACAGGAACTTGATCAGTAACAACTAGGGCTTGGGGAGGAACTTGATTTCCTCCAACAGCTGCCTCACCTGCCCTTTGGCATGCATTTCTCCTCGTATTCATTATCTACACATAGATAGAAGATAAGAGTTAGATCATTAATAACACAATCATGTCACAATTCGACATAGCTCGATAGAGTGTAGAAGAAGGGGAAATTTCCTAAACAATATGTAGTATCTAAATCATGATA